CCCCCCCCCCCCCCAGCTGAGTGACAAGCCATGGGGCAATCTTGGCTCTCAGGGCCTGGGCATTTTCCTTTCACTGGTTCAGCAGGGACCAAGAAGAGGCCAAGGCTGAGAAGTTAACCATGCGTGGTCCGTGCCACCTGGCAACGAGCTCTGCAGGCACGGGAGGCAATCTTTATGGCTTTATCATAAACCTGAGAGCAGTATAACCCTCTGGCTAGTTACACTTTAACAGAAAACCCATTTTTCATCTTGCTGTGGTGTTGTGCTCTTTTAAATGTCATCTGTAGAGTCCCCCAGTGAGTGGGAGCTTCAGTTTTGCTTTGTATTTCTTACAGCTACTGACAAAAAATTTTTCATACAAACATGATCCACTAGGTTACTGAAAAAGAGCCAGATTCTTTCTTAGAGGCATAAGCAAGCTAAAAAGAGTTTGCAGTAACTTTTATACCTCAATCAAACTGTTTTGTCAGTATATATTTGTCATTTATAACCCGTAGATTACTTGACTGGCTCTTTTATTAAGGTTGAAATCTTACATTTTAGAAGAGTTATTAAGCAAGTAAATTAATCTTCAGCTCTCTTGTAGCACTGAAGCTTGTTCATCACTGTTGTGCCTTCCATTATTCTTTAAACATTTGATAATTGACAGTAGTAGTTTCAAATAAATTCAGATCTTTTGTTTAAAATATAGAGTATGTGTGCTTCTCTGACCCCTCCCACCTGCTCAAATCACAGCATCAAGATAAAATTTTTCAGGCAAAATGAAGCCAGTTGAATGAATGCATACCTAGGATTAAGACGAATACCATAAGAAGTAATTGCTGTCTGTGAGTAACTTTTATCCAGATCCTATATCTTAGCCATTGGAAAATCTTAAATAAAATCCTCTTTAAAGTAATTTAGAACTTTGCTGAGAGTAGATGTCAGTTTAGGTACGTATTCCGACTTCAACTTGAAGTCTGACTATTACTTGCCCATAGATGGCAATAGCATTACACCATTCAAGTAGCCCCCAGCCCATGAAATGAGGCTGTGATGGTGGTGAATATTAACTCGGGGAATGGAAAGAAAAAATATCTTTTTTTTTTTTTTTTTTTTTTTTTTTTTTTTGCTGTGGCAGTGGTGATGGGGACTGTTCTACTTGCAAGAATGTTGGGACTAATCATGTGAGAAAAGATCCTGGAGTGATGAGGCAGCGTATTTCCCATGTCTGAGGTCAGGATTTGTTCTGTGAAGCTGACCTTTAAAACAGCCTGAAAATGAGGAATGTGGCACCAGAGAGCAGAGCAGGAAGCATGAAATGATGTAAGATATGTTTCTTCTGCATATGAAATACTTTTTTTTTTTTTTCTTTTTTAAGCTCCAGGTTTGTGATTCAGCATTTTCTGCCACTGACAGAATATAAGAAAGGGAAATTCTGTGGAAAGAAGTTCTTATCATTCTAGTAAAAAATCTAATAAAATATTAGCCGTCAAGTATTTTTGTTCCCCTCTGAGGTGGGGGAGGGGGTATGTCGTTTCCTCAAATCACTTTCCCCGTAACCTCCTGATCTGAGAAGCCTGGAATAGTGGAAAAAGTGGTATTTAGGCTCAGCCTGGACACCTCATCTACCTATAATAGGTGTGAAGTGCCACCAGCTTTGTTGGTGTTGGCAACCTGGGGTACTGCTGTCTTGCCTCAGAGAAGTGACAGCAGGACAGGCCTGCTGCATGAAAGCTTTGGGATGCCAGCGCTGGGCAGGTGTTGGATGCAGGACGGGTAGTTCAGGGAGCCCCTGGGGCTAAAACGTCAGCCCAGGAGAGGTTGCCAGCCTGGGTCTGGTCCCAGCTGCACGGTGATGCAAGACCTCAGGCACAAGCCCTCCTCTCTAAGCTTATGCAAAAGCGCCTTTAGTGCCTTTTCTGCCTTATTTCTTGCCTTTTCTTCCTGTGTCCCTTCTCTTGCTGAGACTCATGAGGCTGTGCCAAGAGGCCTGATGTACCTGCTAGAGGCTCTGCTGTGAGGGAGATTGTTAAAGAAGTTTTGAACCACTAATATTCCATATTCCTTCACAGAAATCTTGCCTCTCCGGTGTCAGTGTGAGCCCTTAGACCACCACTGGGTGGGAAAAGGATGCCCCAGCCTGTTGTCACCTCTCTGATCTGAAGCCCCACTGCCCTGTCAGGAAAGGGGGTTTGAAAAGAGAAAGTGAGGTAGTCGCTTTATCCTTCACCCTCCTTGGAGCCTGGTTGTGCCTTAAGATGGTGTTTTTCTCTGTCAGTAAAGGGGCGGCAGGGGGGAGCACTGCCAGGCACTGGAGCTCGGCCGGGACCACCTGTGAAATGGTCCCTGGCACAGTGCTGGCCCAGGCTGCTAGCACTTTCCCAAACAATTCCCAAACAAGTCCGGCTGCAGCCACTCCACTTTGATGCACAGGAGGGTTTAACAGCCTGGATATGGCTGCTCTGTGCCCGTTGGCTTGTTTATCCCTGTGGATGTGGTCTGGGTGTGCCCAGGGCAATCTGTGCTCAGAGCCATACCCTGCACAGGGGCAGCCTTGCTTTCCAATGCGGAATCACGTCACAGTGAACCAGCAGGGACACAGCCTTGACATGCTTTCTCTTTACCTGCTGAGGTGGCAGCACCAGTGAAGGTGACTGATAGATGGTTTTTGGTTGCTCCAAATGTCAGCCAGAAGGAAGCCAGCTTGCGTCTGCCTAAGATTCTGAATACATGGGGTTTTTTAAGAGTCTGAAGGGACAAGCAACTGGATATGACCATGTACAGTATTTGTGAGACTTGTGTGTTTTAAATTGATGTTGAAAAATGGGCGGTGGAACATTAGAGCCACACAACATGATTCAGAACCTGAAGAAAATGCTTTGCAATGGGAGACGTGAAGCACTCGCTCTCTCTAGCTTATCAAAAAAGACTGAGCAGGGAATTGATTATGGTGGCGAAGGAGCTTCCTTGGGAGAAAAATATCAGGTACTGAAAGGCTCTTTAATCTAGTAAATTATGAGAATGTGTAGCAACACACTGAAACCAGATACATTCATATGAAAAACTGGGCACAAATTTATTGGAAGGAAGGTGATTAATCACTGTAACAAGCTGTCAGGGCGGTTGGCGCATTTTCCAGATGTGTCCAAGCCAAGACAGGCATGTTTCTGATGGATGTGCTCTAACTGCAGTTAAAAGCATGAATGACACCGTAGTCAAGTCTCAAGCAAGGTAAGCAGGTGAGGTTTGAAGGGCTGTGATATGCAAGAGGTCTGACAAACAGTTCCCAAAGGAGCTGCGAAGATCTAATGGTTCCCATCTGTCCTTAAGCTCTGAGAGGCTGAGAAAAGCAGCACGTAAGCAGAAAGGGGAAGGGAAGAGTCAAAATGACAGCCCTGTGGCTGGCACGCTAATGTGCCTTCTGTTTCTGCAAGGACTGTATCTTTCACCTGCTCAGGGCTTTACTGATGTATCCTCAACACCCACTGCAAGATGGATCCCTCTCCAGTCCCCGAGCCCTCGGTACAGATTGGTGTCAGCGTCTCTCATTTTAGTAAAGCATGAGTAAAAATTAATGATGCTCAGCGGTTCACGTGGTAGCTTGGATAACTGTTTTTGCTTGTTGTTACTTCATCTTCTTGAGCTTTGGACTCACCTGTTCTCCTTGCCTCCTAGTTTCCCCAGGATCTATTTCCTTGTATTGCCTTTGCCATCCAGCTCAGTGCACTGTGCTGCGTTGATAATCTCCGTTGCAGTAGAACTTGGAGGCTGCTTCTTACTCACTCTGGCACCATTTGTTCCTCATAATTTGACAAAATGAACCCTGTCTTTCTTGCGCAGATTTCACACAGGATGGGTATGTCAGTGATGTGCTGTGTAGATAAGAGCTTGTCAGGAACTTTTTGATAAAGGGCCTTTTATCCAGAAGTATAAATTTGTAGATGCTGTAGCTATTGACAGGAATGCACTAAGGTAAAATACCTGCAATCTGTATCTAGAAAAGTGCTCTAATCTCATTTAAAAAACAAGACTTCTTTCCTGGAAAACCAGTTGGTGGTGGAAATAAAGAATTTCTCATTCCCCGTTGTCTTTTCCAGGGTCCCAGTGCTTTCCCGCTTCCTCCCCATCTGCTTGGGATGGTGCAAGAACTGTATTCTCTCAAGCCCTAAGTCAAGTCTGCTGGCTTCTCTCTGCTCCAGAGGCTACTTTTGTGCAGAGTCAGACCTGAAACAAGGCAAATGAAGGGGTGGAATTGTTGGCCAGTTGTCATCAGTACCCACAAGCCATTAACCTGGTGCATGGACTCTCTGGAACATGGTAAGTTAGAGGTAAAGCAGGGTTTCAACCAAGATCTCCAAATAGTAAGTAAGAGCCCTGAGCTTATTTTAATGTAGAGGGAAAAAAAACTTTTTAAGAATTTGATATGGTTTTAAATCTTTTTTTTTTTTTTTTTTTAAGGAAATGCAAGCATTCTTTCGTGCAGTTTTCCAGAGGCACACGGGCCTTTGGAAAGCAGTAGAAGTATCCACATGAGCACAAAGCTCCAGCTCAGGAAAGTACAGAGGGTGTGAGAAGGGTAAGACTGTGGCTGGAGAGATGGAAATGGCTTAGCTGGGGCACCAGATGAAGTTCTGTGATGGTTGATCTTATTTGCAAAGACTGCAGCTGAAAACAGACCTAGGCATGAGCTGATCCAGACCATTCCCAGCTCCTGGAGACATTCAGGTTTGGAACCGAATGACCCATGTTTTAAGCCGAACTGAACCCATGTGTCTAAACTTCTTCAAAACGCTGGGGAGATGTTGCTTTTGACCTCACTCTGTAGCTTGGATCCATTTGCTTAGTCACTAGCCAGATTAAGATTATTCTCAGTCTCAGGACAAGATCTGCCTTTTGCTCCCTGGCTCAGATTAATTTACTGTCGCACCCCCAGTTTATAAGATTTTATATGCACATCCTGCTGCTAAATGTGGGTAAAATAAGTGGCTAGTCCTTTTACTCACTTTCCTTTCAGTTTGTTGATCACAAAATTCAGTCATATGCATAGTAATATGTAATTGAAGGATGGTAGCTTTGCCTTGCTGGTTTAGATCTCACCTCTATGCCTGTACTCAAAAAACCCTACCTATTCTGAGTGATACGGGAAGCTCTTCAGGGCCCAGAATGTGACAAGTAATCAATTACTGTAGAAACATTTCTGTGATGCCATGGAATCCAGCCAAAAGACATGACGAAAGTAAAAACTGTTTTCTAGGACATCCAGTTTAATTTAATTTTGTCGTGCCCATAGAACTTCTCAGCAAACGTCTGTACCCTTCTATGTGTTGATTGTGTCCTGTGTCCTTTTATGATTTGGTTACCTTGGCGATCCAGCTAATTTTCCAGAAAAGTCAGCTCCATCAAAGTTCATTGACTTTTTACATTAATGGCCTGCTTGCTCCTTCAGTAGACTTCAGCATCCATTGATTGCAGGTTCTTTCATGGGCTTGGACCCTTATAAGAAGAGATTTGCAGAGAGGGTTATGCCCTGGCATGCTTGATTGGAGCTGGTATGTTTTTCAGTTCTTCTTCATCACTCTAGCCAGACTGATCATCTTTCTTGTTTCTTGAAACACTGGGGCAGTTTTTCTACGTTATTACCAGGCCTCTGTTCCAGCAGGTTCTCTACAGGAGTGAAGTTTTCCAGTAAAAGTCTCTTCTTACACACCTCCCTTTCACATGTTTATACAATAGTTCGACTTGAAAAAGTCTCAACATCATTTCTGCCTCTAGGCAAGCCACAGAGGGACCAATGCATAACAAGTTCATCTATATTTTCCACTTGAATTTAGCTTTTTTTTTAGAGCTTGAGGATTAAGAGATATAGCCTAAAACATACTCAAATATGCCACAACACTGAACATTCAAATACCTGCCTCATTGAATGCTACGTGGGGTGCTTGTACTCTATATGGGGGAGCGCCAGGTGCTTCAAAAGAACAGAACCTCACTGCACAAGGAGCTGCTTGCACCAGCCGGCAGAGAACATGAGCTTAGAAGGTGAAGTCATACAGGGAAATCCACGCAGTCAAGAGCTGCTCACATATAAAAATTTAAAAAAATAATTAAAACCCCCCTAAACATGAAATGTTAACCAGAGGTTGACCTATCCTCTTTGGTCTTCCTGGCTTCTTTGCCCATGTTTTGCAGAGGATACAGCCTGCATGTTCTAGTCAGGACAGTGGCAATGGAGAGGATCACTGCAAGCTGAACCACGTGGGAGGAGGAGGAGTGTAGAGACTGTGGTCATGAAGGGGTGGCAGAACAGGACTGGGGAGTTTCCAGAAGCTTTTACCACAGCAAGCCCAAGCAAGGGCCATCTCTTTTTATAGAGGCATAGTCATGGGGTTTTCTCTGAGGAGTCCACCATATGCCATATCCTACGAGTGCTTCAGATTTCAGAGAATCAGGGTTTCAGGTTTGTTCAAAACGTCTGGCTCCTCCCAGCTGGAAGGGCACTGGCTTGTACTATTAGGGAAGAAATGAGGCTGTATCAACCCCAAATCTGTTCCAGGTGCTGTGACTTTTTGAGAGCAGGATCCCAGCAGATGAAGAAGAAGAAACATGGCACTATGGAGATTTCTTCACTGAGATACAGAGAGCACCTTGTCATCACAGCTGCCCTTGAAGTTGGGTAATTCACAGCTACACCTGAAGTTGGGTGAGTTTCCCTTTCTCATAAGGCCACTTGTATGTGCAATGAGCAGCTCAGAATCAAATAAAATCCCAGGCATGGATGGCACTACTCGCCAGCTCCACTTGCCAAAAAGTCCCCACATGCAGGGCCAGCAATGACTCCTCCAAAGAGCTTCTGCACCCCAGGATGGAGGAAGCCTCCCAGCACCAAGCCAACGTGGTGCCAACATGTGCTAAAAAGGGTAGGCTGGAGACAGCGATCCAGGCAAGGATGTGCCTGCATGGGAAGTCACAAGGGAGCTGAGCCAAAGCCCTCAGCTTCCCAAATGCTTTTGGGGGGCCTGCCGGTTGCTTCACTTGGGAGCATCCGTGCCTCGTTCCCCGCTCTGAGAGGTGCAGCTGGACGGGAGGATTTTGCCGGAGCCATTGCAAAGCAGAATCTGGCTGGGGAGGGTGGGAAGGCTGGGATAGGATCAAGCGGTATGTGGCAGGGGGACTGGACTTAGATGATCCTTACGGTCGCTTCCAACCCAAACCATTTTATGATTCTATGATGTGAAATACCACATTTACCTGAATGTAAGGCAGCCCTTACATTCCAAGGAAGACCTCACTTAAAACTAAAACCAAGTCATAATTGACTGGTTGTGGATTAAAAGCATAAATCTTCCACGTCTTGGTGAGGGTCAAGTTATCCCAGTCCTCCATGAGGTTCTGCTGCCTCATAGAGGCAAAATAATATATATTTTATATATATTTATATTTATATATATAAAGCGCCTATCACCATATTGATAAACATTCTTTGGAACCACTCTGACAGCAAAGGTAAGAACGGGGATCGGCCCGTTGGTACCTCAGCACTTCTGTTTCCAACCTGCCCCACACAGCAGCCCCTCCGCAGCCCCATGCCAACCCCCTCACACCCCGTTTTTGCCCTCACCCTTCCGGAGAGGGGACACAGGGTGTCTCCAAGGCGCTCGGTGCCACCACTCGCCTGGCTCCTTCCCCGGTCAGCCGACCAGTGTTCCCCAGAGTTGCTGCCCAAGGGTGCTGTGGGGGCACCGGGGGGGTTTATTCCATGCCAGGAGCGCGGGTGTTTGGAGTCTTCCACTTTAAAATATTATTTTTTTTCCAGCGCTTTCTGAAAGGAATCTCTACCCAAGCTGGTACGGGCATATTTTTATCCACGTTTTAGAATTACCTTTGCAGGGAAATACCACATTTACCTGAATGTAAGGCAGCCCTTACATTCCAAGGAAGACCTCACTTAAAACTAAAACCAAGTCATAATTGACTGGTTGTGGATTAAAAGCATAAATCTTCCACGTCTTGGTGAGGGTCAAGTTATCCCAGTCCTCCATGAGGTTCTGCTGCCTCATAGAGGCAAAATAATATATATTTTATATATATTTATATTTATATATATAAAGCGCCTATCACCATATTGATAAACATTCTTTGGAACCACTCTGACAGCAAAGGTAAGAACGGGGATCGGCCCGTTGGTACCTCAGCACTTCTGTTTCCAACCTGCCCCACACAGCAGCCCCTCCGCAGCCCCATGCCAACCCCCTCACACCCCGTTTTTGCCCTCACCCTTCCGGAGAGGGGACACAGGGTGTCTCCAAGGCGCTCGGTGCCACCACTCGCCTGGCTCCTTCCCCGGTCAGCCGACCAGTGTTCCCCAGAGTTGCTGCCCAAGGGTGCTGTGGGGGCACCGGGGGGGTTTATTCCATGCCAGGAGCGCGGGTGTTTGGAGTCTTCCACTTTAAAATATTATTTTTTTTCCAGCGCTTTCTGAAAGGAATCTCTACCCAAGCTGGTACGGGCATATTTTTATCCACGTTTTAGAATTACCTTTGCAGGAGTGGCACCTGTTCCCCGGCCGGCGGGGCTGCGGCCTGCTGTGTCGCGGTGCCGCCCCGCCATCTTGTGGGCCCGGCCTGCCCTGCAGGCCGCCGCCGCCACCAATCCCTCCCCGCAGCTCGGGGCAGAACGTGGGACAAGTTTTCCAAAGCAGTTTTAAAATTTGGGGCATATTTTAAAAATATGAGGGGGGAGGAGGGAGGGGAAGCCTGAGGCACCCTCTCGGGTCACGCAGCCTGTGTAATTAATCAGTCAGGGAAGTGACTGGCTGCAGGACAGGTGGCCGTGTTTTCGGTGCCGCAAGCTTTGTGGGGGTCCTGGGTGGGCCAGATGTCTCCTGTTATTCTGAGGACGTGTTTCTCAATATATCTTTGCCAGCCTAGAATTTGATAGCCCCAGCTCACAAATTTATTCACCACCAGAGAGGCCACCTCTGGAAAAGGCGAGTTAAGGGGAAAAGGGAATGGGTTTTCAACTGAAAAGTGCTACTGAACCGCACAAATAACGAGCATGCTTTATGTGGAAATTGCCTGCTCGGTGCTATTGGAACAAGCTGCTAACGAGGGAGCATTGCCAGTGCTAGCACGTCGGTGTGGGAAAGGGTGGGGAGAAAAATTCCATCCCCTGTGGCAAGAGGAGCGATCCCAACGCACGGTGGAGCTAGATGATGGCGTATGAAGCGCCCAAGTACAAAGGTATTCCTACAAAACAGGATTAGGGACTGGCTTTCTCTTCTCAGTCAGCCTTTCATGCTTAATTTACTGCTTATCCTCTCTTAGCCGGGGTTCTCCATTTTGCCTAGATTACAGAACAGTGGTGCCTGAAGTCACTTAAAAATACAGAATTGAACTTGTCTGTTGCCACTGATGCGCTGAAGTTAGGGGAGAGGGAGCCACAAATCCTGACTGCATGTCTAGCCTCTCCCTTCATCAGGAGCATCTCAGGCCAAGTGAAACAGTAAAATCTCCCCAAGAGCTGCAGCACAACAGGGCTTTGTGCATCCCCCTTGCACAACTCTGGGAGAGCTGTGGAGTGAAGGCAATGGGAAGACAGGAGCTTGTCTCTGGTTTTTAAGCCAAGAAACGGGAAGCTCTGCTGAAACCCCCACCCCCCTGCTTTTAGCCTTGTTATATGCAAGACAAAAATTCAATCATCCTCTTGTTTAAAAGACAGGAGGTGCTAAAGCCCAGATTCTCCTTCGTAGGGACCTATCTTCCACTCTAGCCAGGTACCCAGGAACATTGGAGGATTTAGACCCAAGGGCTGAGGCTTTTGCAGCTCTTTTCTCATTTGGGACACAGGCAGGAGCATGAGGCATTAACAGCTCCAGTGGCTTCAGCTCCGAATGAGCTTGTGTTCTCAGTCCAGAAAGCTTTTCTGTTTTCTTTCCAGCTGTAGCAGTTGATCAGAGAAGCAGGTGGTCGTGCTCTCCTTGCTAACCTTGTTCCTCTTGACTTTTAGCCTTTCATTCGTCGTCGCTTCTCATTTTGGAAAACTTTAAGCTAAATGAACCCTGGACCAAATGGAAGAGAATTGCCTCCTAATGCCGGGATGCTAAACTGCGGCGGTGGATGGTTGAACAGGAAGAGGCGGCCGGCTATTGAGCCTTCGAGCTTCACAGAAGGAAGAGCTGAGGTGGAGAAGTGGGGCTGGTAGAAGAGGAGCAGAGGGTGCCCGAGCAGCACCGTACAGCCAACCAAGGGCGAGCAAAGGGATGGCAGGTGGGTCCCTGTTGGGTGAGGGGACACTAGTTCGCAGACTGACCAGGAAAAGGCGATCTGGCAAGGACAAGGGCACAGCTTTGTAATGGTACAGGGGACCCCTGGAAAGACCATAAAACGAGAACAATCAATTAACAAGCTGCTGTGGTTTCAGGAAAGCCATTATAGACATACTGGTGTAATGAGCACATCTGATGCACAGAAGCTATTTAACCTTCAGCCTTGTGCCTTATAAAGCACCTCTGGGGCACTGAGTAAGGCTGTTAATTATTAGGGTCAACCTTAGCAGACGGAAGTGTCCTCAAGTATGGGTTGCTGTGATACACTCAGATAATTTCTCCATTATGTCAATAACTAATTTCCTAAATAGTTCAAGAATTGACAGATTGGCATCCATTAACCAAGCCTTAACTCATGGCTATGGGAGCAGTTACAGGCCACAAGGACTGCAAAACCCATTCATAGGTCCTGTATACATGTACTCAGCTTGAATATACTGTTACAGCTTGGTGTTAGCCATTAGTAAAACAAATAACCAACGCGTGTAAAAAGACTAAATAGACAGTGACAGATATTGGCTTGAGCAGATGTCTTGATGCTTGAGCACTGTCTTCAAGCACTCTGACAGCAGAGAATGAAGTCAGTCTGACTTTTAAAGAACTGTGTATTGAGAAACTGTAAATGAACAGAATCGCAGTAAATCAAAAATAGCTATTCTATTTACGATCAAAGGTACATAATTTTTTTTTCTGGAAAAAAAATACTCTGTATGGCAAGCATTTCATGGATTTGATACTCTGTGACTTGTTACATTGTTCACCTCTGTGCTGTGAGACGAATCTCATTGCTCTTATTGATACAGGCCATATGATTTTTTTGTACTTAAATGCAAACATTTTTTTTCCAAGCACAGCCTGTGAAGAACCAGTACATCTGGAAACTGCAATAAGTAGGTAGGAAATCCTGTTGATCCATGAAGGGGTTTTATTGTTTTGTCTCAAAGCCAAGCACGACTGGAAAAGCAACTGTCCTAAGCAGAGCTGTTGTAAAAGGGCACTGGAGGCTTTGCTGCCCGAGCTGGCACATGGGCTGCACGCAGCTTGAGGAGGAGGAGGAGGGAAATGGCTGTGTTGCTGTGTCACAGCATTACGTGTGTCTGAGCTTACCTGCCTGAGACCCCTCTGGCTGACCACCTGGAGTTAAATCAAAGGAGGCCACGGAGAGACAGGAGAGAGGAGGGAATGACACAATGATGGCCACAGAGCCTGATATCACCGACGGGCCTTCAGGGGATTGCTGGGGAGCAAGGTACTGGAATAACTGCTGCCAGCCTGTTGCCAGAAGGGTGACAAGCTGTTTTTCCAAGGCCAGTGATGAACACAAAAAGATACTAAACCCTCCCCTGTCACAGAGGAAGGGACCGGGGAGTGGGGATGTGGAAAGGAGGGAAGAGCAGCCTCTTAAGGAGAGATGTTACTGGAGTTGCAGATGCTGCTGGGTGTGCAGCCAAAGCCAGGGACAATTGGCTGCGTTAGAGATTTCAGGGGCTGGTCTAAGCTGCTGGAGAGGTGATGAGGGGGAAGCCCCAAGCACCAAGACCTCCTGCAGGCTTAGCCCAGTCTCCTGGTTTGCGGCAGGCTTTTGGCTGTACCGTCAGCCTTTCTGCCCCAAAGGGACAGTGACAGCTGTCCATCGCTGGCTGTTTGGAGGGGAAGGGGCTGGCAAGCAATCCATTCAAAGAGAGCAGTCCTGTTTAGTCATCAACACAGGGAGTGGGGGAACAAAATGGGGGTGCCAGCCTCGAGGAAGGTGAAGGTGGCAGCAGCCCTCACCTACTTGTGCCCTGGGAGAGATGGCAAAGCCAGGGTGGGAAAGGACACTGCTCCCCACCTGAAATGGTATCTGGCTTTTTTTTTTTTTTTTCCCTACAGACATCCTTTATTGGACCGGCCGTTACCACCTTTCCCCACAAACCTCATCTCCCCTGCTTCCTTAGACTGCCGTGGCTGCAGCATCCCTGCTGGAGCACCCCTGAGGTACCTGAGGGCAGGAGTGAGCACCCGTGGGAGAGGCTGCCGTGGGGAGAGCCAGCCCAGGTGCACCACACTCCAGAGCCATCTTCCCACTGAAACCGGCCAGGCGGCTGTGACTGAAATTTAATTTGCCTGGTGCGTTCAGTGGACATTTTAATCAGCATTTCCTACAATCTACTTGGCAAAGAGGCTCAACTGGCAGCTGCCTGACTGAATGGGCTTTGCACCCAGTCTAACCTTCCCCATTCGCAATTTCCAGTGCTGGAAAACCTCTCTGTCTCGCTCTCAGAAGTTTCTATAGCAATCACGGCCGTCCTAGCGAAGCACTGAAAATGGCAGCCCATTCAGATTGTAATTTTGCTGGACAGTAATTGCTCCTCTCTCCATTGGCCACTGAAACGTTACTTTTTGGGAGATATCAACCACAACTGGAGACTGGTCCTCTGTCTGTGTTTTCAACAAACTTCACTCCCCCCTCAACTAACTTTTTAGCTGTTTGTGGTGTGTTTGAACCGTGACCAACAGGGAAGCGTTGCTGGGCACATCACACCTCGGCTACAGGGAAGACCTGATGTGAATGATGCTCTTAACAAGCCTGCAGGGAAAAACCTCACCGCCCAACACGACACGTTGTGACTCAAACATCATCCATCACTGTAAGTAGAAAAAGTTACATGTATGTTTGGCTTTGCTAATTGTAGAAAACCAGAGGACACAAAGAAAGCTTTTTCTTCATGTCATTGGGCTTACTTTTCCTGGTTCAGTTAACTTCAGCTTAAACAATCACTTGTTCTTTTGTTCCATGCTTCATCTTCCAGCAGCTGTGATCGCTCTTAATTACTGTGACACCGAAGAACAGCACGCTAAAAATATATTAAGTAACAGAATGAAAGGTTTTGCTCCTTGCAAGAAAAGGATGTGGCAGCATCATATCCCAGCTTGTGAAGGAATCGATGAACCGTTTCTGGAGCTCTTCTCATAATCTTTCCCTATACTTTTATGGCTATTGTTGCCTGCTGGAAAAATTAGCTTAAAGCTGAGTAAGGGGAATTGTGGATAAGTGTTTGCAATTTGGCTTTGGACTGACACAGTGCGATTGCACTCAAAGAATGTAAAGTCTTTGCATGGCAGCAGTGCTTGAATCTGGGAATATAGGATTCGCATTGGGGAAAAAAAAAAAGTGGATTTTTATAACGATTTAAATGAACAATTTCAGCTAGAGAGTGGATTAACAGAGCCAACTAAACCCTTCACCCTGACAAAGAACTGGCGGGAGGACTATAGAAACTCATCCAAAATTTTACCAACATGAATGCAGAGTAATAGGTCAGCGAGAAGCATTTCTGTATTTTAATGGCGCTCTTAGAATTCAATTCAATTTAAAACAAAAGTTGTTTTACAAATATGTGGAGAATGCAGAAGGCTGGAGAGGGAGCAAGTGGCCTGCATCCTCCATCTGCTCCATCCTCCCTCCACTCTGCGCAAGGGACTGCCACCGCGAGCCCTCCTTCTCGACGGGCAGAAAGACAAAGGCAGGCAGAGCCCCAACCCCAGGGTCAGAAATGTCTCCCATTCCAGGGACACGGATGCACCCCCAGACCCCGCACCCCATATTTCATGTGTGTTGGAGCTCTCGAGGCCCAAAGCCAAGCAGCAGGAAACTCCAAGCCTGGGGGTCTAATTGGCTGACAGCAAAAGCAGATCTTGAACAATAAGAATCCCAAATTAATAGAGGGGGGGGAAAGAGCACTTTTTTTGCCATTCAGCTGGAGGCCCCCACCCTCACACTGCTGGAAAAAAGAGCCAGAGACATGGAAAAAGGGTTTCAAAACCCAAAATTAGGGCTGCGGGCAGCAGTAACTGAGGAGGACAAGTCTAAACGGCCTCTAGAGGAGGACTTTTCTGATAAGCCCTGGATACACCTACCAAAAGCTGAGCCAGGAGTAGGGCAGTGGCCTGTGGTGCTGTGGCTCAGCCGGGCAACCAAAGTGCCCAGGAACTGGCCCTGCTGCCGGCCCGGGGTTGCCCGCTGGAGACAGAGATAAAAACCCCAACCATCTCGTGAAGGAATTAACACAAGCCCTATCTATTCAGAACAACATACCTAAAAATAGCGTGAATAACAAGTGAAATGTTTATAAAATCTGGATTTATTAACTTTTCTTTATTACAACATCAGTTCTCAAAATAATGGAAGGATTTAACAGTGTTCAGTTTCTTATATATTAGACTCAAAATTATGTATTTTTAAAAAAAATTTCTCAGTATATAAAACAAGGAAAATCCCAACAGAACTTACAAAGCCACTGTAGTTCACAAGTACAGGTGCTAAGGTTGCAGTGAATCATACAGGAAATTTGTCATTACAGGTAGAAGAAAAACTACAAGAATTGGTTAAGGTTTTAATCACAACCCATAGGTGTTTTTTCTTTATTTAAAATAGATGCATTATATAAAAAAACAAATCATCACTCCAGAGAGGCACATGGTGTTTAGTTGATGGCATTAATTCTGTAACCCAAACAAGGAAACTAATCCACTTTGAGTAGCTAAATTATTTTTTGCACTATTTACATACTTTACTGAAGTATTTTCATCCCAGAGCCTGAGCAAGCATCTTAGAATATTAATGAGTGAAGCCTGGCAGCACTCCAGCTTTACTCCAGTAACATCATTCCCACTTTAGCAACAGGGAAACTGAGGCTCTGGGATTATTTGAATCCAGGTAATTGCAGAAAGAAAACTCCTGGATCTTGATCCTCTCAGACAAGTCCTGATGAAGAGACTAGTCTTCCTCCTTGTTAGATGGCTGGTGGCTGTGCCGCACACTGTTTGAAACCTGGTCAGTTTTTTTCATGTTTAAGTTGCTGCAAAATAGGTGACATCTATCCAGCTGTAGTGTCATCATGATCACTTTTACTCAAAAAAAGCCATTAATGGTTTTCCTCTTTAGATCCAAAAAGCGACAACTGCAAGAACGGCATCTTCAATCCCTGCAAAGACCTGTGGAAGGCGGCTGTCTCGTTATACCCAAAATACTGCAATTGTTCCCTTGATCTGTGCAAAGGTAAATACTGAAAACCAGTAGCTTTGAAAGACAAAACTGCATTATTTATATAAAAAAAAAAAAAAAAAAAGATAAGAGCTACCGCACAAGAATATGAAATGAAAATACAGCTCTAAAGATAAAATGGATATGGTCTATATGGATATCATCTCTATCCATGGTCTATACGGATAGAGTAACTATGCTCACAGAAGCTGTAATTTAAATTTTCAGGTATGGGGAACATTCCTTTGTCAATCAAGTATTTGCAATAAGTTAGCTGAGAGATTCTCAGCCAGGATGTGGCCTTTATATACCAACATAAAATGTTTCAGATGGTCCATAATCACAAGGATTTTACATCCTGTGACAGCAAAAATATCATACCACATCACTAAGGTTACTTGAAAAGACCTTTAAAAATAACTCAGCAATAACATTTGCTGAATGACTAAAAGGGAAATAAAAACACGTTGCAGATCTGAGATGAAATGAATTTGCAAGTGAAAAACCTAAAAAGCCAATACTTGAACTTGAGATAGAAACATCCAGCATAAATCCAGCGATTTTAAGGCCATTAAGGAGTGTGCATAATTTATTCACAGGCATCTCACTGTTTATGTTTTGGCAACTAAAACATCTTGAAATGGGAATAAAAAGTCATGGACCTCTCACACCAGAGAGGAGCAGGCCAGGCAGCAGGGCACAGGTCTGCTGGGAGCACAGGTGACCCAGCACCGTGGGGCAGGACATACCCAGTGTGGTCCATCGTGCCCCAGTGAGAGATTCTGGCCAGCACCAGTTGCCTGGAAATTGTTTGGCCTCAGAAGAAGTGCCTCCAAATTCCCTCTGGAAAGAGACTGGAAACATACCACAGCATTATTAGCAGCATTGTAAAATAAACACAAAGGACCTCGATTTCTTCAGGGAAGTGGATGGGCATAAGAAGACTTCTTCTGTGGTTACTGTGGGGATCTCTGCCCTGGCATCTAGGCTGGCTGACAAATTGGTCCCACCAATCTCTCCTTGTGGTCTTGACCTAAAAGTGGCAATCCACACTCTGCAGTGCAACCACAAATACTGCACAGTAATTCAAGCAGCTTTTCTTGTTTTCAGCCCCAAACCACTTCCGTAATAAGCTTTTCTTGTTTTCAGCCCCAAACCACTTTATTTCTTCTCTTTGATTACTGCTGGCACCTACCAATGACTCCCAACACATATCTTCCTAGGAGGCCAAGGAAAGACTGCACTATGGTTTTATTTAGCAATAAATAAAACTTCCCCCTGGAAGCAGGGCTGTCTCTGGAAGCTTTTGGGAACTTCCCTCCTATGGTTTGCCAGAGCTCACCTACATCCCAGGAGGCTTACAATGATTCCTCAGTCCCACCACATTTAGGACCTTCCACAAACCTGGGGTATCTGAGTTTGGGATGGGGGATCAGATTGCAGAAAAGCCTCAAATACCAACAGGCAAAGCTGCACCAGTTGGAACACAAACAGATCTACCCAGGGGGCTCCAGGTTGGTCATCACCCACACACACCATGGAGAATTACTTCCCCCTTCCCTGGCCTGAGACGGTCTCTGTGGAAATGCAGAACCCACCAGAACCTCCTCTCACACCTCCCAGACATCTCACCTCTGTTGTGCAAGATTATGCATTTCCCCTGTACCACATGGTGGAGGTGGACAAATAGGTTAAACATATAAACCACTTTAAAAATAATGCAAATAAATACCAAGATGCTTTAGGGTATCTACCCCCCACCTCCCATTTTCCCACAATACATTCTGGCCCAGACAAGGTGGGTGCTAGAAAAAAAGCCAAGGCTGAAGCTTCAGGAGAGTTATTGGCGCAGGCACAGGCTGATGAGTACAGACTGCCATGTATAAATACAGAACCACAGACACTTAAATTACATATATTAGTTTTATCTAGATTTATATATCTGTATAAATTAAGTATACATATGTGTGTGTAGATACAGACACACATGCATGAATCTCAATAGTCTCTCTGTTGAGAAACCTAATAAAAATTTCTGAAAATATACATAAATTATTCAGATACTCTTAAGTATAAGCAACGTATTCAGATTTGGTTTTTCATAAATATGCATTAAAATTCTCCATAGCAGTCACCTTTGTGGGAATATCAACATAGTTGCATAAGTTGTCAATTATAAATATAGGCTTTAAAAATTATTTGAAGAACAGGTATAGCCAGTATAAGGTAACTTCCAGGACACACAGAAGCGATCAGAACAGAAAACCAGACTTGAGCACGTGGCTCCAAAACACCTGTATTGCCATAACACATGCAAGTGCACAGGACCTTACCAGTCCTTCCCACCCACCCAAAGTCCCTTTTAAAAGCTTTCTGTAATTGTGACCGGGGTTATGATTGAAAAAAAATAATGAGGCTTAAAGGCAGAGAAGAATATTTGTGATAATAGTTACAATACAAGAAAAAGGTCACACTGCAAAATCCGAGAAAATCCCAAATCTGGGGACAGCGTGTTATGTATTTCCTCCCTAAGAAATTGGGGAAATCTTTTTCAGCCCACCTGCATAAAAGTTTTCCCTATTCAGGGTCTCTAAATATGCTTTTAAATGACTTTTTATAAAAATACAGTATAAGCCAGTACGCACAATACTGTATTTTGTTTCAGTTAGATGAAAACCAAGAATGACACAATGGCATTTTTAACTAAAATAAAGTTTCCAACTACAAACGCAAGGATGGATGATGTGTTTTGAGGTAATATCCCATCTTTTCCATCAAACAGATTCCTATCATAACTCAGCAGTACTGTGCACTACTCTCCCCAGATCAGAGCAGGTGTGGGGCAGCAATGGAAGGTTTCGTATAAACGAAGCTGAGAAAATTCAGGGTAGAAACGTGTCACTGGTGTAGAGGCAGCGTATTCAGCCTTGTGAGAACTGCAAAATTTAGGAAGAGTGTTAATTTGCACTTCTATGTTACACTATACCAGGTCTTATCATAGTTTCTTTTCCCAAACATGTTTACTTAGATCTTAACCCGGTGTGGTTTCAAGTACCTTCGAGCTACACCTCAGGCTTCTCTCTTGGTTCAAACTGTTAAGTTTTCAATGAACCAGACGGAGCAACAGTCTGATTACAAGAAACTCTTAGAGCCTGAACTTCAGCAGATGGCTACACATAGAAAATAGGAAAAAAAAAACCAGAATACACTACAGAGGAGTTCCAGGATTCTAGCAGGGACCTATACAATATCAGGAGTTTTATAAATAAAGTGTTTGATTTTTCTTTTGTGCAAACTGCATTGTTCATGACAGAAGGCAGTGCATGAACCACAAAGTGCCCTCTTCATGTGACATTATAAATGTGCTGTGAACCCTGCATGGCCCATTAACTTCCCCTCTAGACCAATTCTCCAGAAAAATTCTAATCCCAAGGTCAAATTTGGATTTTACAGAAAAGAAAATAAAGGCAAGATTTCACATGTCCACACACTGGTGGTACAGAGAAGTAACCGAGTCCTCGTGTCTTAAGCATAAAAAACAACTGATGAAAGAAAGGCATGGTCCAGATGATAAAGTGCAGTTATTATATCAGTTGTGCTAAAAGCTTTCCAATTCTGTAGTTTGACTTCTTGGTGATTTTATTCAACTTTTGATTATAACGTTTTTTTGCTTCTGTCCCCATCTTTCCAGTACTGTTCAGTTTGCATTTCTGTGAGCCGGGAGACAGTCCGCTGAAAGGCAAAGATTTCCTCTTCTCCTGTGAACATGGAGAGTCCTTTGGCAGAATCCTACATTAATACACAAAAACGGTACCACAAAACTGTGAGAGACACAGCTGTACTCAAGCACATCCTATCTAACTCCTAAGGCTGAGTGCTTTACAGGCTTTGACAATACAAGACAGCAGCACGGCACCAAAAAAGTAAAATTAACATCTAAAAATCAAAGAAAAGCAGCTAGGTAATCCTGTGAAAGAACACAGCAAAGCAATAATTTGGATTTAAAACAACATGATAACACGTTAACCATCTATTTTCACTTTTCTGTTAACTAATTGTATACTGATTTAGACAAATCATTTAAAAAGTCATTAGCAATAACTGGGTAATAGGGAAAAGGAAAAGCACAATAAGCAGCATGCAAAACAGTACTGTTTGTGAGGCAGTCCTACTGAGTCTAGGGAGAGGTAGAACAAACCATCTTTTATTTCTGTATTTTAAATGTAGGAGCTAAACTTAAATCAGTATTTTCATACATGATTGAACAGATATAATGATTAACAATTAAAATGACCCTAGAACTTAATGCAAAATGATTCTATATATTGTGACATTTTCTTTGACTATGAATAAATAACATAACATGCAATTACGAGAGCGACAGATACACTACAGAAAAAGCAGCAAATCACTAGTTAAATGTTTACTTGATTCCTCTTCCTAAAATGCTGCTGTAATTATGAGACCAAAACCAATTTTGTTACAAAAGGGAGACGATGTTAATATCATGTACCTGGCTCAAGTCCAAATCATCCATCAACACTCTGTTGTCCTCTAGCTCACCACTGTCATCTTCTACCAGGAACAAGCTTTGGAGAGGAGTCGCTGCAGAACAAATAATACGCACCTGAGAGAAGGAAAACAGGCAACAAAATCACCACTTGGGCTTTGCAGAAAAGGGACAAAAGACGTGTTTTATGAAAAGCAAACTTCAAATTACAACCTTGTTTTTTTCTCCAGGTATTCTCCCTTTCTCTTATTAGCACTGCTGGTACAGAATTACCTGACTTAGTCCTTTGAAATATTAACCTTACAGGATCTTTTTCTCAATAACAACTCATGTAACTTTTACTCAGAGAACAGCATAACTACTATTAAATACTCAGAATATCTGCTACACAGGCAGATATTCACAGGTTCACAATCAAGTTCACTTTATAAAGTTACAGCTATAAAGTATCGGTAACCAAAGCTTTCTTTCCCCCCACAGTTAGATTCCGCTGAGTAGGTAAGTGCAGCACACACATATTTCCACCTAAAGAATGTTTAAATTCTGAATTTCCTAGAAGGATGAGCTGAGCCACTCTCGCTTTCACCAATGCTACTCAAGTGCACTATTTCCTAATAACAACAACGTCCTTCTATCTCCTCCCAGCAGGCATGAAAATTGCAGTGAGATATAGTGTCCCTGGGGGCTGCAATGAAGACAGGCTGAAATATTACTACAGAAGGAGACAAAAGGCCTGTGTTGTGGACAGGTCTCCACAAACCCGCTCCCTCGGGTAGTTTTTCCAAAAACCTACTTGTGATGGGAGTTTAACACTTGTGATTTTCCTACAGAGGAAGTAATAGAAAGCAGCTGTTTGCTTGCAACTCTTAATGACAGCACACAGATAGAGCAGATCACCTCACTCCCCAACCCCCTACTTCTAGCACACTATTATTAGTTTATAAATACATTGTATGTCCTCTAGAAACTGTCCATTTCCAAATCATAAAGCACAAAGTATGCGGCTGACCTGAATGAGACTACTCATACGCTTAGTTCAGTATCTTGCTGAATCAGGGCCTTTCTGATCAACTTGCCAGGACATTCTTGACAAAAAAATATCTCAATCGATATTTCCACATTACATAAATATTTAAGTGTGTGCATATATAATCACACATAAAGTAATGTTTTATATCTTTTATTACTTTTTTAAAAATCACCTTAACCATGAACTTGTCTTTGTTTTACTAGTGCTGATTTTGTTTCCGTGATTGAAACCTCTGTAAATCCACACAAAGTGCTGCATTTATCCTTACTATTCCATTAGCAGTTCTGCAACCTAATGTAAAGCCTATAGTGTCTGTTTGCTTTAAACTTAAAGATGTAACTATACTATTAATTCCTCAGTACCCTGTTCAGGAAGGCACCAATTCCCGACCAACTGCCTGTACAGATTAAAATTTAAATTTACTCCAGCCCAGTTGGCAGCACAATCTTTCATTATTAAAATGATGACATGGCTTCTGTGGTTTTCCTCGGTTAGGAAAGAAATAACATCCCTATTCAAGAAAGGCAAATGAGCTCAGGCTTATACTTGTGGTCATGCTTAAGACTCACATTAAAAAAACCAACCAAACAAAACCACCAAACCTGCTTATTTGCCTCTATTACAATGGCACTTCTTTTTTGTGAAACTGGAATGATGTTTCTTTGCAGTGCTTGTTCATTCTGCTTATGTTTTTCAAATCATTAGTACAGAAAGCCTTACTTCAGTTCTAACAGTCAGGTTTCAGGGCTGCTGCTATCATTCCTATACATAGAGGATACAGGAAAGGCTTGGTTCTCACCTTATGCTCGTAGAAGGTGTCAATAAGAGTAATGAAACGACGAGCCTGTGTCCTTTTTGCCAGTGTAAGAAGTGGTATGTCACGAACAAAGACAGTGTCAAAATGCTTTGATACTTCCAAATAGTCACTGGCCCCAAGAGGCTGAAACAAAACAAAGTGTAAGAAATGGAAACCCACGATAGAATGATGCATGAACACTGTATCTTGGAATAATACAGTTACAGAAGAGAGGGTGTAAAGTCCTGATCATATTCCTATTTTTGTTGCTTCATATCTTGCTTCAGGAATGCTTGTTTGCCCTTACTGACATAGGGTGCTCATTCATACTGCTGGCTTTACCTTGACAGTGTTTCATAGTTAAAAATGTGGCTCTTCTGCATCCTGACAATGTTACGATCTCTCTGACAACCTCAAACAAAATAATCACTATAAACCATAATCCGTGGAAGAAAAGAAAAAACATGGTTACGCTACAAAGTCAACCTAAAGCATAACTAATTTGAACAGCTATGAGGATGCTTTTCCAGCAGCTCGATTTTTAAACACAAATGCACAGGCTGTTACTAAATCATATGCAGACCTGCATTTAGTTCACCACCCAAGACTAACCCAGACTGAATAAAAATCTTATGTTCCAAGTACTGAAAGCAACAGGAAACAGAAAAAATTACATTTTTTAGCCGTTCCTTTGTTGATGGTTTAACCTGTAATGATGAAATAAAAATCTATAATAAGAACTTATTAGTTTCTATTTATGTATCTAAACCATCAATAGAAGATACGAACAAACAGCAGTAGCTCATTCCAGTACGCATTTAAATACATTCATTTAAAATTACTTTTTCATTACATGGAAGGTATAATTTCTTCTGCAAGATCTACCCTATTAATACTGCAGGCAGTACTTTATCTTGAGCTATTAAATCGTCCTATTCAGGAGAAAAACTTAATATACCTGAAACTTGTCCCATTAGTTTTATTTGTAGAAGTACTTCAGTATCTTGGACACAACTACTCCATAGAGCAAGATCAGCACCATTTGGCATGAGAATGTCCCAGCTCCCCTCCCAGCTCCTGAAATGTGCTGTATCACATTTATGGTTATAAAGCACTACGATACTGCTAATATCTTAAAAACAGGAAATAAAAAACATTTTCTCTGAAATTGCTAGACAAATTTGCTGCAGGCCAAGCACAACTGCTTCACTAGAACCCTTCTGCAAGAAGTTATTTTGAGCTGTCCATGACCAGGGCTTTCGGTTTTATTTAGATGCAAGAATGAAAAACCCATAGAAATGGTCTATACACAAGCACAGGAGAGTGAAACCCTGCTGGTATTCCAAAAATTCTTCTGAAAATTAATGTGAACAAGCTAGAGCTCCTCACCAGCTAACACCCCCCTGGCAGGTATTAAAGTCTCTGACTCCGAGCCAGTTCTGCCATTTGCAGTCTCAGGAATCACCCCGCTTTCCACTCACAACTGCGCAACTTCCCTGTGGCATCTACAGAAAAGAATTCTTACAAAAGCTTTCAAGTGGTTTTGGCAGTGTTTAAGAGCAGTATATACTATATCCCCCCCCTCAAAGTTATAGATACTGTTTATTTTCTCCCTCCCTTTCAGGCTCCCAGACACTACTATGGACTTAAACAGAAACCAAGAAACTAATCATCATCAGGGCCAACAGCAACAGCACTGTGCAGCACCTCTAAAAAAAAAAATTTCATCTGGACAACGAATAGCTGAACTTGAATTTTTTTTGATGAAATAGAGCATGAAAAGGTTAAAGAAAGTGAAAGGAAGTGGTGGATGGAAACATTAGAGAGCAAGCCCACTGCGTATCTCACCATCAGACACAAGTAAGAACCAGCTGGGCAACAGTCATATCAAGTGCAAAAGAAAACAACGGAAGCACTAAATACTGCGATGCTGCTGGTGGTTTTAAGATTGGTGGTAAGCAAACGGTTCAGGTAATGGTCATTTTTATTCCATACTTGGGACTGAAGTACTGTTAAATATAGAGGAGATCAAGTATGTCTCTGTGCTGAGGACCTGAAAGGGACAACAGTGGTGATATAATTATATGTGAGAAAGGAATTTCTCATGTCTCTCTTTAGATAAGAGATTAGAGACATCACTGCTATTCATGTTTGTTCTTTTATCACATGAAGAACCCAAGCACTCCTCTGCCAAAGCCCAAATCCCTGAGGAATTACTCTGTCTCGCCCCAGATGGGATCTGCTTTCTCACCCAAACCGTATGAATACACCTTCCTTGTTTCAAATACAAAGTATAAAATATTAAAAGCAGATTCCTAAAGTGAATAAATAAATAAAAATTAAAGGCTTAAAACTTTTGCAAAACCTGCAAACTGAAGCGCCCAACTGCTAAGCTATACATCTAAGAACTTGGTAGGCACCTTGGTGGGTGTCCAGACATGAAAATGAAAAACCTGGGAGGTCAGAGGGAGCAAATAGGTAGAGGACAAAAATAAGGCTGATGCATTTCAGTGGGAAGAAAGGAAGATGGAATGCTACTTTTGTTTTTCATACAGACATAACCCCACAGTTCATAGAGGGTTACAGCATGCATCTTTATCACAGGCGGACAAGAATTCAATCTACTTCAGCAGTGCAAAAAGCAGGCAATTCAAAAATTCCTCTAATTAGGACATAAAAAGCAGATAATTTTGAGCTCTTTAACAAGAATTTCTGAAACACCTACATCAGCGCTAAGTGATAATATTCTGCAAATGTTGGTGGAAACGTGCCCTTGGAGACTCCAGAATCCTGAGATCAGAAAGATCTGAGCTCAGCAGCCATGAGTATTTTAATGGAGTAAGTTTGTACCTCCCTGCCAGGACTCAAGTCTGGTGAGACACAACTGAAACTCCCCGAGTCAGCCAGGCTGTTGTTACGCAGGGCTCAGCAGGCAGTAGCTGTAGTTCATCACATAGAAAAGTTCCTAAACCCTCTCCTTTTAGAGTTTAGAAAGACATAACCCTGGAGATGAAGACAAAGCTTTAAATCTTGCCTCCAACATGACTTACTTTCATATTGGACAAGTCCTTTAATTTCCTTCTGACTTATTCTACTTACTGTAAAAAGAAGGAACAAGCAGCAAATTTTCAAATGCTCCAGGGGCAGTTTAAAACTCTTTATGTATTCCTCTAACCTTGGTATTGGCCCAATTTCCACGCTGCCTGCAATCGCTTCAAAGCTTTTCTAACCCACCAGCTACGCTCAAAATGCTCCAAATGCAGGAGGAAGGGGATGCAGGGACACCCTGACAGCTTCTCCACCCTGACACATTCTCACTGGCCTTTTGCCCTTGCAGAACTGGCACCAGGCTGGCACAACCACCCACGTACCAACTCTGTGCCAGACAGCAAAGAGAGCCAGGGGAAACGGGTTCAAGGCCAGATTACACCACTGCTAGATGTTCTGGCTGAACACTCCGTATACAGAAGCTCTGCTGAGGAGCAGATTTCTGTTGTTGGAGCAGCCACCAGCCCTCCCCTCACCTTTACACTATTGCCAAGGGCCCTGTTTCCTCACCTTGCAGTAAGCACTGGCTGGGTCCTGGCTGCCAACGATACTGGCTTGTGACAAGATGACTAGACTCATGGCAAATTATTTCAGACACCTACCACTATCCTCTCTATAACCCTCCAAGGCTGAAATTTATTTTACAATAATATATATAAAAAAAATTATAACCTCACCCAGTCACAGAAAGTACTCCGTTTCAGTCAGTAGCGTACATGAAGGTATTACTTCCTCTGAAGTTGCTAATGAAGCTACAAATCCTCCTAATATTGACACATATATACCTAATCCTCTTATTAGAAGTGTAGTCTGATTAATCTGGACAACATTCTAAAAATAACAACTTGATTTGGTGTGTGTTTCTGGTACTGTTTGATCTTTTTCTGTTTCATCAATTATTGATCACCACTCAACTTTGGAACCATAACACATTTATGCAACAATTGTCATTTACCATTTGTTACCAGTTCTTTCACATGCTGCAATATTTAAAAAAAACCCCAAACAAACAAAAAAACCAACCCAAAACATTACCAGACAAGAATCTTTCTTACAGTAATATTGCTCCTGCATATCTGTGCAAGGTAAAACTGTTGTAGATTTTTGTCATTAACTCTGATGCCAAGAGTCAGTATTTTATAGGCATCATACTAATGCAAAACCCATTAGCACTAACAGGGGCTACCCTCCTGACAAAGCGTTTACTCCACTTCACTCTGCTTGACTGAGTTCTCACCTTCATTTGGTTTTGTTTCTCTGTCTATTTAATGCATTTTCAGCTATCATCATCTCAGTTCAAGTAGGATGTTTATTATTTGGAGCTCTCTGTGGACTGTTTTAAGAGTTAGTTGTCTCCTGTTTCTATTATATATTCCATTTAATTAAAGTATAAAGCATCCTTCTTTGTTGACTCATGAATGACAAAGTAGCTCATCTTTTAGAGACTGGCTAAAGAATACAGAAGGCTTTACATATGTTAGAAAAAGACATTTCATCTCAAGAGAAAATTTACTTTTGTTTATGTTGGAAGATATTCCAAGGCCAGTTCCAGTAATGGCCCAAAGAGTTGTGACCGACAATAACCACAATTTAGTGCAGACACCCCAACACTCCAAAACTTCCTAAAACCAACACACAGTTTCAGTTTAAGACTAGACAATATTTGCAACTTAGACACGAAGCAATAAGCAAAAATTATAGAGCTCTTTCTGTTGTTTCCAAAGGAGCCACACTCTATCACTACTAGGGCTGATAAAATAGAGCACTGAGGTAATATTTCAAGATCATAATTCAAGGGAACAGAAAAACCTAAAGCGTGATCCGTGATGCAGCTGCATGCTGAAGTGTAAATAAAAATCTAAGATGGTTAGGGCATGGCTAACTTGGTTAAAAAATCTAAAGGACTGACGGCAGTGCAAATCTATTGGAAAGCTCTGTAAGTTACAGGCAAAGATAAGAAGTTCTTTTGAAGTATTATTAATAAAATGAGAATTTAATGAAGGCGACAATTTCTTATCAAGTTTTACTGAAGGTTTCTGGTGGCAGAAAAAAAAAAAAGCATGTTATTGTGAGATTAAAGATCGCATCAGAGAGCTTAGTAAGGAAAGATTAAAATAACATGCAGTTTTGTTTTGGAGCTTCCTAACTAAGCGTTGTGAGTTGGCCTGCAGAAACACGTAGCAGTTTTTAATGAAGGTATTTTCCTTTAAATGATTCAGAATCATTAAACTGTAAACACAGCTGAGTTGTGTCATCATACAGGGGAGACAGTCAATTGACTTAAAGACACACACTTGCACTGGTTGCCTTTGAAAATGGTGATGAAATGATGATGAAAATTTTTCCAAAAAAAGCTTAGTTACATTTTTCATTTTGAAGTGCAAGCTATTCAAGTTAGGAGCCACATCTACCTCCTGATCTGCAGAGTGTGCCCATTGCAATGGAACAACAACCTAATAGAAACTGTTTGCTAATTCTCTGTTGTGTTAATCTACACAAATACCATCTTTTGCTAATTACAGAAAAGCTAACGAACTTCTAGAAAGAAAAATATCACAGTAAGACAACCTTTTACAACAGATGTATTCAATTTATTTTCTTACCTTTGTTATGCTGTAGTATGTTTGCTTATGGTTCGCAACTCAAACTCCCTGGCTCTGTTTTCCAGCTCAAGCTGAAAACATGACCTCATTTAAATTACTTTAAGAATAGTAAACCCCATAGATTCATCTAGCCCTATATCCTCTAACAGGGGCCAGAAGCAGCTGTGCAGGGTAAATACAGGAACAGGATATGCATATGGCAATACTTTGCTGATAAACTTTCCAGGTACCAGTGACTACTTCTTTATGAACTTTCTGTATTAAACCTTTTGCATTTTACGTATCTTTGTTCTTTAGTTTACCCATTGACCATACCCATATAAAAATCCATTTTATATATATGCCTTCCTATAACGTTAAGACACTATGTTCATTGCTACTTGGCAGCTGGATGAAAGGATATATTTAATTACCTAATGAAAACAGTACAGTCTCCATGAAACAAAGTTATTCAACCTTTGTAAAGAGGCTAAAATGTATTTGAGTACACTAAAAATTCAGCATTCCCAGCAGAGGGCAGCAGTTGCTACGCACAAGCGAGAGGAAGGCTTAAAAAGATAATATTCTGAGAGAGACAGAAGCTCCTTATTCCATTAGGACCTTGGAAGACTACATATAAGGTACTCTGTTGTCTAAATTATTTATACGAGATTGAGATTGAAGCCAAGCTGTCACAACTACAAGTTTTTAAGCAAAATTTTAAAACAGAAGGGAAGAAAGAGGACTGGCAGAAGGTGATTTTTTTTTAAGGCGTGATGAACACTGACCTTTATGTGTAAACACAGAGAAATGAAACTACTCTGATGGGGCAGGGTGACATTTGCATGATTGCTCACTTAGGATATTGTTAAAGTCAAGTTAATATGTACATTTGATTTTTAAAAATATTTTCATCTGAACTTTGCATATATATAAACTGCCGAGAAAAGGGATTTGGAAAAAAAAGTTTTTTATAAGCCTGTTGAGTTCAAATTATCAGATCTGACCATCCAAAAAGCTTTCTATAATTTGTCAAGGACAATTATAAACTGTATTTGCTTGTCAAGAACTAGCTCCTTAGAATCCACTATTGTGGCAATCTTACTCACCCAGTAACTCAATGAAAAACAGTAACTAATAATCTTTTACAACAATCTAACTTTATTGGTAAACTTACTCCTCATTGTATAGATGGAGAAAATGACAGGCGGAAATTAATTAAAGGCCACAAAGTATGGAGGAAGATAACATTAGCATTAAAATTCAGTAACTATATGTTAATATTCTGTTTGTTGCCTCTACCAGCTTTCTCTGGCTACATTTG